ACACATTTTAAAAGTATTAAATACATCACAGTGGATATCTTTAAGTTTGGCTTATATGTGTAAATAAATAGAAGTTCTTTCTGACTCTGGCACCTTGGTATTCTGATTATTCTTATCAAACTTCTTGAATAATATTTTAATCTTATAATATATATTTTTTATCTGTTATAATATGGGGTAGGGGTGGGGGGTTCTGCTTTTGCATAGAATATTTAACAAGGTTAAACACATATATACATGTAAATAACCAGACCTCCTTGGTCACATGCAGTAGAACCTTGATCTTGATCTTTTGCAAAAAAGTATAGAAGTAGGAGATAAGATCAAGGGCATTGATTTGTGACTCCCAGCCTCTTATCATGCTAAGATACTCTGTATCTCTCTCTGACTTCAGCTGTAGAGTATCTGGAGGACTGAAAGAGCTCAGAGAGATTAGACGATAAAAAAATTGGACATGTTCAAAGCATTGGTCTACTAAAGTCACTATGCATCTACATTACTAATAGATGAAGTTTACACTAATTAGCCTCCAATCTCTCATTCAATGAATAAATATTGGAAAGCTGTACAAGATGAAATGACATAAAAAACTAACACCCTCAAATTGCATCAGATGTTTGTCCTTTGTGTCACTGTTGTGTGGCTGCTGCAGAGTTTTTCTCCCTGTTGCTTCATGTACCATTGAGGCCTGAGGACAGATCTGTCATAACACTTACACTTTTAAAATGTCACACATATAACAAAGGTGTGTGGCACACATATCTGCAGAGGGTGTGCTGCATGGTACATAGCTAGCTCTGGCTGTGTCTTTTCTTGTTGTCAGCTTGAGTTCAGGAGTGAATGATGTCATATAAAGCAATTTCTTTAAACTGAGGCATTAATGTTAGTTTAAAGACAGAATGCCACTGTATTTTATCCTGCATCATGAAAGTAAGCTTGCTTTAACCTTCTCTGTATGTAAGGTGTAATCAAGTAAATATGCTGTCTTTGTTTATGTATTTTGATTTAAAAAAAAAGTTAAGACAAAGACTGGGTTCCTTTCTCAGGAGGTGATGTAAATCTGAGGTTATGAAAATATACCTTAGAGCTTTTTTTTTGGAAAGAAAAAAGGGATGGCTATATCCTGGTCATTTTTAAAGAGACTAAACACAGCAAATAAATAGCCATATTACACAGCAAATTAGATAATTATGTCCTGCTCAGAGTTAAATTACAACTATTACGAGTGTTGCTATAATGTCTGTTAACTGTTTAATACTTCCAAAAGTGTTATTTTAGCTTGAACTAGAGCCAACCAATATAAACACTTTTAAAATGATAATTTATATTAAAAGCAACACTTGACAGATTTGGTTGAATTTAACTCAATTAACCCCAACTATGTGGTAGAACTAATGTTTGCAGGGTCGAGGTTGGACTTAATATGTGCTGAATTAACACTGTACTTTCTACATACAACATCAACACTGGAAATCTAATTTATTTGATTTTGCTGTATATTTAAATATGTATTTGTTTCAGGCTTGTGAAGGATAGCTGAATACAGTGTTAAAACTAAAAGATTTAGCCAAAATCAAACTGCAGCTACTGGTACTCAAAAAATAGAAATACCTTTAGTGTACTCACCAGACAAAAAATGCACAAAAAAAGCATGAGAAAACAAGAGCAACACCAGAAACTCTCAATAACTAAATAAAAATACTAAACAAAACATCAGACCAATATAAAATTGAAAATGCATAATGAAGCCTAGACATAATTTCAAGCTGCCACTCCTCTCCACATCATGTTGGGAAGCTCCAGCCTACAGGTGCAACTTCATCCCTACATATCAACCAATGATCATTCAGATCTCTGCTTTTAAGGCTCCAGATTCAATAACATCCTCGCTTACCTGCACTGCTACCCTCCTCCACCCCTTCAACGCCTTCGTTCTCTAGCCTCCATTCATCACCAGTGTCAGAATACTTACTCAGATCTTTTGCATTCAGCTCTGACTTTTTTTGCCAGGGTCTGAGCATCAAAAGTCATAATTTCTTCATGTCAATAAAGCTTTCTCTTTGCTGGCTTCTCTCTGTGCGATTTTCTCCAAAGTGAATCACTAAAGAACATTCCTCTTATCAGTTCAGATCCACTATTAAAATAAATGGTTTTAGTCATCGATAAAATATTTTTCAGATTTTACATTGTCTCATATAAATGTTTCATGGCAGCCTCATTATTTCAAACCTCTATTTACGGCTGACACCTGGGAAGAAGCTGTTCAGAGCAGCATGATGCATTTTAGGTAAAACAACTTAGTTAATATGGTGAAATATTTAACCTTAGAATTCCTTTATATATAACGTTTTTATACACTTAAAAACAGGAAACTGCATTTATCATCACACACAAAAAGAAAAACAACACCAGAGATTATGAAAGCGAACGATTGAGTCAGACGCAATGCCACAGCCTTATTAATTTTTTTTTTGAAGCCACAATAGTGAAAACCAAAAAGTATAATTACTATTTATGCAGGAGGAGATATCCAATTACACAGAAATCTTTGAGCAAACATTACCTCTTCCTGGATTTCACTGCTGCCAGAAGAAAGGCTCACTGAGATAATTGAGTTATGAGGTGGTACCTAGAATAAGGTGAATATCATCTTATGTAATACCCATCACTCTATATTCAAATAAATAAAGATTTCACAGGTACTAAGACTATCCATTACTGCAAAGATATGATTTATGGACAATAAAGTATTGTTTATTAAAAACTAGTCCAGAAAGGTGAAAATAACAACAGCTTTTTTCATCTGAAAAGTTGTCATAACTTGAGATCGTCACATAAATAAATCAAGACATCTTTATCATTTTTTATTATCCTTGAGGCTGGTTGAAATCGACTCAAGAAATATTTAGGTTTCTAATGGCAACACAATATTAGCAGTTTTTAAAATAATTCTATCAATTTCAAATGCAGCTGCAGTCCTTTAGACGTCACCTGTCCTTCTAAAACCAGGGGAAAAAAGAATCAAACCATTTTTTTAACATAATTCAACAGAAGAACAGATTTAATCACTTCAGTAACAGAGCAAAAATCTAGTTTGACTGTTCACTTATAGCTTATAGAGAAACAAAAAAAAACATTTTTTGACAAACAACATGCAGACAGGCAATTATTTTCTATTCTATATAAAAAAGTAATATTCAGAATTTTAGATTTACAACCTGTTTATTTTAAACACTGCATGTGAAGCATCACTATGTCAAATATAATCTCCCCAGTTAAGTCCTTAAGCTTATTTACGACAAATAGCAGCTAATTTGCTAGAAGCCACTAATAACACTCTTAGGCTACGTTCACACTGCAGGCCTTAATGCTCGTTCCGATTTTTTTTGTGAAATCCGATTCTTTTTGCATTGCCGTTCATATTTCTAAATATATGCTGCTTGTAAGTGATCTCCTGTGTGAACTGCAGTCATACAACGCAAGTGTCCCGCATGCACTGTAGAGGACGCAATGACATCACAGGCCAGCGTGCTCTATGTTTACGGAAGTAAACATGGATGGTAGTGCCGGCACACATCTAGCGGTCTTTTCCAACCATCTAAACACAAACTTTTCAATATGGTTAAACATAAATACTGCTCTCCGCATCATCGTCTGCCATTGTTGTTTTTCTTGCAGCTTCTGCATATCAAGACGCAGAATAGTGACCTTTGTTGGGTATTAATGACAATCAGGTCGGATGAATCCGACCTGGCCATTCACACACATGTCGCATTTGAGAAGATCAGATTCGTATCGGGTTCAGGACCACATAGCCAAGTGGCCTGGGTCAGATAGGAAAAAATCGGATCTGTGTTGTTCAGACAGCCATTAAAAGATCAGATCCAGGTCGCATATGGGCAAATAAATCGGATTTGGGTCACTTCAGGCTGCAGTGTGAACGTAGCCTTAGACTTGTAACTGAACTTTTCAGAAATTATACATTTTTTTCCCAGATCTTTTCCTAAAACAGTTTACTGGTCTCTGAAACATTATTAAAACCTTACTAGGTCTTCTCTTTGAACTTTCTCAAAACTTTCAAGGTATTTCCTGAATATTGGGCAACAGCTGTTACATCCACCAATAGCCAGTGAGTTCTAGGAAAGTCTACCAAAATACTGATGTTATTTAAAGGTAGCCCATTAGGTAACAATAAAGTAGCAATACATTTCTAAATAAATATAAATACATAATAGAAGTTCTGTCCTATCAGTTAGTATTTATAAATGTGACCATTAGGGTACAGAAAATAAAAAAAGAGAAAAATATTTTTTATCCTTTTTAGAATACTTTCAACTCACAGTTTTCCATACACACATAAAAGAACATACATGTTGAGCTCCTGCCGATATTGTCACCATGGGAAGCAGCTTTCTCCCATTCTGCTCCCAAACTCTGGAATTCACTCACATATGATATTTGTAATCTTGACAATTTACTTCTGTTTAAATCTGTGTACCAGATAATGATCTGTTCAAGACTGCATACCTACACTAACTGCCTCCACTGTTTTTAATATAGTGTATAATGTGTTATATTGTGTATTTTTGACTGTTTTCTTGTACAGTGACCTTAAGTGTCTTAAAATGTGCTTTAAATAAAATGTTTTATTATTATTATTTTGTTTAATATGTAAAGCTACCCTTTTTTTGGAAAGATGTCTTCTTCTCTTACTGTCTCTTACTGTATACATTTACTCACAGTACAGCTGTTTAATGAAAATATATTTTTTTCAGCTGATGGTTCTACCTTTCTTAATGCTGATCGCTGTTCTTAGTTTGGTCCTCACTGATATGCCTGCTACTCAGTAAGGATGCTGACCCATGAAGACGGAGGAGGAAGAGGCAACTTGTGCCTTGTAAACCTGTTTGTTGATGTTCTGATCTGCCCCTTTCACTGAGCGTTCTATTAATCAGGCCTTCCTTTCTATTTCCCCTGCCCTTTTTGCTTTGTCTCTGCAGCTCGGGTATGTGACAATGCGATGCTGCGCTGTCAGAATGGTGGAAAATGCCACCACCATCAGCAGTGCCACTGTGCCCCTGGCTTCACAGGCGTCCTGTGTGAAAGGGCTAGATGCCAGGGTCCTGGAGAGTGTGATGACCAGCTATCTGGACGGGCAGCCCTCCATCATCACTCTGTAGACCATCCACTTTTCCTTCCCCTTTTAACAGTCCTACTTTCAATTGTTTCTCTTTGCTGAGAAGCTTGAACCAAAATCCCTGAAATCAACCCCCAAGACAAGAAATGCTGAGACAGTCCTTTCAACTTTATGAACATGAAAAAACGAAGTGTTTGTCCTCAGTATAACCATTTTTTTTATTCCAAGACCAAGTTGTGGGGTGAAGAAAAGAGATGGGCAAGCAGTTTCTTGAAAGGCACAGTGAAAGAAAGACTTTTTTACCTCACAGGAAAAGACTGTAGATGCCATTGCTTTGTAAAAATGTCTTTCTCTTTTGCCTCTTCATATAAAGACTGGACATTCTCTCCTTAGGCAAAATCTATCCAGATTGTGATGAAAAGCTCTGCAGAACTAGACACAAGTTTTCTTGTTATCAATTTAAGTATTCTGAAAAAATATTTATTGTGAAGAGAGACCTCTTAAAATGATTTTTGAATTTTTTGGAGCGAGGATATACAGATATATGAGTAGTAGGATCCTTACCTGTTTAAGACTTATGTCATAGAGTTTGATTAATGGTGATTAATCTCTCAGGTTGAAGGCTAGTACCTTTTCAGACAGAAAACCAAATTCACCGCATAGTAAATCCCATTAAAGGAATAGTACACCCAAAACATGATTACCCTTCATTTTCTACTCACCCCCATGCTGAACAACACTTTGGAGTACTTTTTTGATATCTCAAATGCATCTGGAGATCTGGGAGGCTTCTTGCTGTCTGCTGACATTCAAATAATGGAGGTCTATGGTGCCCGAGGCAGAAAGGTCCATAAAAGTCCACAAAAAACGTGTCAATATTCCTCCATACTGCTCGTCCAATGTATTCCAAGTGTCCTGAGTGGGTAGCATCCAGAATTTACTCGAAACAAAGTCATTTAGAATGTTTTTAGAGCATAAACAGTAGTGTATAGGATTTCCTGAAAGCGCGCGCCTGCGCGTTCACGACGCTACGGAAGCCGGCAGACCAAACCAGATGAAAGTGCGCATTCAGCGTCTGCTCTGCCGATAATGCAAGCGTAGAAGAAGAAATGTGCTGTTTACCTGTGCAAAGAAAGAAACAACGAAAGAAAAATGTCTGAGGACTTCAGTGTTGAGGAAGAGCATGAGTTATTTGCCGAGCTGAATGCGCACTTTCATCTGGTTTGGTCTGCCGCGGTTTCCGTAGCGTCGTGAACTCGCAGGCGCGCGCTTTCAGGAAATCCTATACACTACTGTTTATGCTCTAAAAACATTCTAAATGACTTCGTTTCGAGTAAATTCTGGATGCTACCCACTCAGGACACTTGGAATACATTGGACGAGCAGTATGGAGGAATATTGACACGTTTTTTGTGGACTTTTATGGACCTTTCTGTCTCGGGCACCATAGACTTCCATTATTTGAATGTCAGCAGACAGCAAGAAGCCTCCCAGATCTCCAGATGCATTTGAGATATCAAAAAAGTACTCCAGAGTGTTGTTCAGCATGGGGGTGAGTAGAAAATGAAGGCTAATCATTATTAATTTAAAAAAATGAATAAATAAAATTGCATGAATGGTTGGCGAACATCAGCCAAAAACAAGTGTAATACAACTTTCAGTCCAGTAGATGTCGCTGCAAATGTGTTGACGCACGCTGCCTTGTGTCACAAGCATTTCCGGCCGCGGGATACTGTGCCGAGTCATTCAAAAACAAAACATGGAGGAGAAAATATTGCAATGCATCGCAATAATTCAAGTATCGTGATGCATCGTGATAGAATCGCATCGTGGCCTGTGAATCGTGATTCGAATCGAATCGTGACTTCTTTGGCAATACCCACCCCTACTACTATGCTAACGCCACCGCCACCAAGCTGCAATGATTTGCCGCGAATGAATACTGCCGAATCTGTCGATTCATCTTGTAGTGGTGCATCAAATGCAACATAGATTCCCATCCAATTAGATTGAATTTGGTATTGATGACGTGAAAAATAATAACAGTAACTCCATTGAAATGATTCAAAACTAAAGTAACGAGCCAATTTTTTAAAATGTAAGGAGTAGAAAGTACAGATATTTGTGTAAAAATGTAAGGAGTAGAAGTAAAAAGTCGCCATAAAAATAAGTAGTAAAGTAAAGTAAAAATATCAGAAAAATCTACTTGAGTACAGTAACGAAGTATTTGTACGTCGTTACTTCCCATCTCTGTTCAAGGGTCATAAACAAGGCAGGCCCAAAGTCGGTCCTTTAGGGTTGCTTTCCTGTAGGTTTTAGAGGTTTCTCTGCTTCAGCACAGCTGATTTCCATTGCCAGCTAATTATCAGTCTTTTGCTGAGCTGTAATAAGCAGAATCAGCTGTGCTGAACCCGGGAAACATTGAAAACCTGTAGGACAGCGGCCCTCAAGGACCGTCTTTGGACATACCTGGACCATATGAGGGATGCATATCAAATGCAAATTTAGCGATTTTGACACTGCAAGTACTGGTGCGTGATCTCATGGAAAGAGCGTAGCAAACTTTTGCAGTTTAAAAATCTAAACTTCTCTGTTAATTCACATCTGAATAACCAATCACGGACTTAATGTTGTGACCTGAGGTTGAGTTGCATAGATGTAACAAAGCATTTTTAAGTAGGCAGGCACTGCTGTTTGGATTTATATACTGATCTATGGGGCACATAATATGCAATAAAGGCAAGCAGATTGTTGCTCCTTCTGCTTGATCATTCAGTGAAACTAGCTGGGTGGAATTTACAGCTGTTTCCGTTGTGTGGCAAGGTGTTTTTAGATATAATCAATAAATTTGATTTATTACTGTTATATGTGACACTAAATTTTGCCTGTTCAAAAGTCTTATTCAAGATAGCTGGAGTTAGATTTTGTTTGGTTAAAACTGAATTACATTTATCTGTAACTGCAGTTTAAAATTTTCCGAATGACATGTAGATATGTATGATATTCAAACTTACAAATTAAATACACAGATCATTTGTAAAATGGAGCTGAAGCGTCATGCGGCTAACGGAAGGTGAACCATGCAGAGAACTCGCCTCATTCATGTTCAGAGTCAATGTACCTTTAGGTTTTCTGTTCTGACAAGCTCTCAGAAGATTATTGTAACATGACATGTGTTTAAAACAAGTAAGGGGGCTGCTACTTGTAATACCTTCACAGCACCTCAATTTAGAAAAAACAAACTACTGCTATAAGGTCTCTATCTTCACTGCCACCCAATTCCAACTGATCTCTAGCCCACCCCAACCACATTCTACACATCCATGACCTTTTTCTGTGCTTTAGTGACATGAGTAATTTTACTTTGCTGCTGCAGGGTATCTGTTGTTTTGCCAAAAGCTCCAGCTGTATCACAATCCATCTTTCCTTACAGTTTTAAGACCCTCTCATTTTCAGAGGCTTTGAAGTATTGCTTGAGCTCACCTGTATCAGAAAAAAAGAAAAACTGTACAATACTGTAAGTGTATTTAATTTTGTATAAAACAGATATTTTCATGATTGTTCCCACAAAGAAAAGATGTATTTCTTGTTTTCTACTGCTGCTGACCTGTCCTTCAGTAGTTGCGGACTAAAAGTAGGAAAGGAAATTGGTTGTGAAGCCATTAGCTTTTGTTGCTTATGGGACACATGGTTCTCTTTGATTGAAAACTGCTGTGAAAATATGTTTACATACAAGGACACACAATACACCTCCACCAAAGCGCAAAAGAAAAAAAACATGTTTTTGTCTTGTTGTTAACAGTAGTAATCATATTAGGTAGAAACATGAAATTTGAGACAAGATGTGAAAAAAAAAATTTTTAATGTTGATTGATAAGTACAGACAAAGGACAAAAGCTGAATGTCATTTTAAGTTTTTAATCCTCTTTGACCATTTCACTGAAACATTAGTTGCTGATAATAACACAGCAGGCTGTTCTGTAACACATCTCTGTTGTGCTTGTGAAGGAATCTTGGGCTGAAATCCCATCAATTTTATGTAAATTTAGCAAGAGGGGAAAGGAAGATTGTGTGGCTGTTGCAGAGGTTGTTCGGCTCAAATCTGTAATCAGATCTAATCCTCGAATCAAATGAGAATAAAAGGAAAGGTTTTCCGAGCTGCTGCAGATGAAAGCCAAGCATCCTGCTGCGGGAGCTGCCACAAAGCAGCATGCTCAGGAAATGAGCTTTAATTCATGAAGGGTCAATGAATAGAAATGAAGTCGCAACCCACCGGGTGACACATTGAGAACTGAGACCAATTTCATCGGAGGGATTAATTTTACTCCTGAGGTTGTCATGAAATGCCTAATTGTGCTAGAGTTTAATGTAAGTGCCTCTCATTAAATGTCGCTGTCTCTAATAGAAAGCAGTAGCCTTTTTTGTGAATAAGACTCTGGAAATAAGGAGATTTTGTTTGTGATGGGTTAATCCGCTGTATAAAAACACTTAAAAAGGGTTATTTCTTAAGAAAAAAAACAATGTTTTTTGTGAAAAAAAAATCAAAAAAAGAGTTGGTGATGCAGATAAATGGACAAAGGATAAGTATAAATGTGTGTTTTTCATTTTTATTTAGAAAAAAAATAAATGATCAACACCCATACTTGTGTGATCTTGGATGTTTTTAATTTTTCAGAGGGTGGTGAAGATTCTCAGTCATCCAGGTCATAGTCATTTCAAAAAAGTAAAAAAAAACAATCCACTGGTCTATTACCTGTCTATTTTCTGAAAGTGGGGGGGGTAATTAAAGGGAATTGTTGGCCTGGATGAATAGGTGGGGTCTTCTGTTTCCTTGTAAAGGGGTTGCGGTTGCAATGATAGCAGGAAGGGATTAACTCAATTGCTGGAGGTTTTTGAAAGCTGAAATTCACCCCCTCTGTTTAAGGTTGTTTTTTCTTTCTCAACATAGATGGCATAGGAGAAAGAAAAACTAACCTTAAACTAGGGCTGGGCGATATAGAAAAAAAGCTTATCGATAAAAAAAAATGCAAATGCATATTGATCGATATCGATAATTATTGAAAAGATTTGAAACCATATTTTATGTGCAGCTCTGCCTGGACTTTTTATAATATTGCTAAATCATTTAATTTTAATAAAAAACACAAACACAGACTTCCAATTAAATCTTTATTTAACCAACTTTTTTAACCATAACAGAATTGTTTTAAAGAAAAATAACTTAAGAGACCTGAGTTATTAAATACTGACAAAGAATAAACTAAAGTGACCAGAAAAGTGACCAAAATAAATATAACAAATAAATAAATGCCCCCCCACCGCCGCTGCCCCCCCCCCGTTTCCTGCTTTAACCTGAGTTATTACTTTGAAGTTTCTGGCCCCTCAGCATTTTTATCTCAATTGGTAGAACTACGTGGGAAACTGCCCAGAACTGATAATATATATATATATTTTCCCGAAATTCCCGAAGATTCCTCGGAGGAGAGCCGCGCCGGGGCCTACACAGCTCGTACTCCTGCGGCTGTGAGCGGCTAAGATGATAAAAAAAAAAAAAAAGTTGGTTGTGTTATCAGACTTGGTTTTCACTGGTTCCCTACACATTTTACAGATGACTGTGGTTTGTTTTTGGTCTGACTTGCCATGACCGAAATACTGCCAGACTGCCGAACTACAAAAACCTTTCTTTGAAACAG